ACCTCTCAAGAAAGTAATTTTCAACCCTCTGACCTCTCAAGAAAGTAATTTTCAATCCCTTTGACCTCTCAAGAAAGTAATTTTCGAGTTTGGTGGTAGGAGTTTGTACGAGTTAAAAGTAGATACTCAGCCTCCATTCACATAACAAAAGCCGACAAATCCATCACATGTTGTTTTAGATAAATTGGAAAACATTTCTAAAATGAATCCCTTCCGCCACGAGTCATACACATACACTGAGAGCGTGAAAAACATCTTTATGTTATCTCGACTTTCAGGAACAACTTTAGGAATTTCTTCCTGATATAATTTCATTAATATTTATAAAGTATATAATAAAAAGTATATAATTTCATTATGAAATTATAATGATTTTATTAACCAGTTTACTGCCCTTATCTCCTTCCTTATCTTCCCATTAAGACCTATTGTTAGTCCTTATCTTCCCATTAAGACCTATTGTTAGTCCTTATCTTCCCATTAAGACCTATTGTTAGTCCTTATCTTCCCATTAAGACCTATTGTTAGTCCTTATCTTCCCATTAAGACCTATTGTTAGTCCTTATCTTCCCATTAAGACCTATTGTTAGTCCTTATCTTCCCATTAAGACCTATTGTTAGTCCTTATCTTCCCATTAAGACCTATTGTTAGTCCTTATCTTCCCATTAAGACCTATTGTTAGTCCTATTGCATCATTCCTAATACACTTATTATATTACCTATTATAATCAAAGTTTTCATAGATTATAACACTGTTGCTTTCTGGTATCTGGGCATTCTTCTAAATCTAAGGTACTCTAATTTGTAAGTTTTAAATAATTGTATCAGTCCAAATTTAGAGTTTGGATTTGATTTCTTAAGTCTCGTTAGCCAATTGATTTACAAAGTCAAGCTCTGCAGCTCCAACATTTGATGGGATCTATCTTGAGGTTATCTTGAGATGATTTCGGGGCTTTAGTGTCCCCGCGGCCCGTTCCTCGACCAGGCCTCCACCCCCAGGAAGCAGCCCGTGACAGCTGACTAACACCCAGGTACACCCAGGGATCCACACAAATTTGATTCTAAAGTTATTATCGATGGCAAAAATGACATTCCATTTAATATTACAAGGTACTTTATAGAGTAATTGTGATGGGGTTAATTAGAGACTGCAGAGTATTCACAAAAAGTTACTCCACCACCATGTAAAGTACTTTTTTGCATTTTTCTTATTTTCAACCACAGACGTGGCCGGACATTTACAATGCTAACCAGCATATATATACATTTGTATCTGTCCTCCATGGACAGGGTTAGAGATCTGTTAAACATATAGTTCAGGGATTTATTGAACAATCAACCACTGAAGGTGATTGTAGTGCTTTTAAAATGTAAGGTATTCAGTGATCAGGTAGCCACAAGCCACTATATCTAGTTCAGTTTGTGCTCTGCTTCAAAACCTGGGGTCAGATTCACGAAGCAGTTACGCAAGCACTTACGAACCTGTACAGCTTTTCTCAATCTTTGGCGGCTTTGTTTACAATTATTAAACAGTTAATGAGCTCCGAAGCACCAGGAGGCTGTTTATTTACGTAAGTACTTGCGTAACTGCTTCGTGAATCTGGTCCCAGGTTCGTAAGTGCTTGCGTAACTGGTTCGTGAATCTGGTCCCAGGTTCGTAAGTGCTTGCGTAACTGCTTCGTGAATCTGGCCCCAGGTTCGTAAGTGCTTGCGTAACTGCTTCGTGAATCTGGTCCCAGGTTCGTAAGTGCTTGCGTAACTGCTTCGTGAATCTGGCCCCAGGTTCGTAAGTGCTTGCGTAACTGCTTCGTGAATCTGGTCCCAGGTTCGTAAGTGCTTGCGTAACTGCTTCGTGAATCTGGTCCCAGGTTCGTAAGTGCTTGCGTAACTGCTTCGTGAATCTGGCCCCAGGTTCGTAAGTGCTTGCGTAACTGCTTCGTGAATCTGGCCCCAGGTTCGTAAGTGCTTGCGTAACTGCTTCGTGAATCTGGCCCCAGGTTCGTAAGTGCTTGCGTAACTGCTTCGTGAATCTGGCCCCAGGTTCGTAAGTGCTTGCGTAACTGCTTCGTGAATCTGGTCCCAGGTTCGTAAGTGCTTGCGTAACTGCTTCGTGAATCTGGCCCCAGGTTCGTAAGTGCTTGCGTAACTGCTTCGTGAATCTGGCCCCAGGTTCGTAAGTGCTTGCGTAACTGCTTCGTGAATCTGGCCCCAGGTTCGTAAGTGCTTGCGTAACTGCTTCGTGAATCTGGCCCCAGGTTCGTAAGTGCTTGCGTAACTGCTTCGTGAATCTGGTCCCAGGTTCGTAAGTGCTTGCGTAACTGCTTCGTGAATCTGGTCCCAGGTTCGTAAGTGCTTGCGTAACTGCTTCGTGAATCTGGTCCCAGGTTCGTAAGTGCTTGCGTAACTGCTTCGTGAATCTGGCCCCAGGTTCGTAAGTGCTTGCGTAACTGCCTCGTGAATCTGGTGCCTGGTCTCTACTCTACCAACATTGGAGAAGGTAAACTTTAGTGTTTACATAAAAAAGACGAGAGGTCAACATTAGTCTGTCTCACCAAGTAAACTTTTCCGCTGAAAGCTATTCCAACGGCCGCCAAGATGAAGGAATAACTCCGTTGGTAGAGTGTGAACTTGTAAACTCCCAGAGCAACACACAAGAGGGTGCACGACGGGTAAACAGTTTACCACCACCATCCTTGCCACAGGCTCCAGTACACCATACTCCAACCCACTTCCCCGATACATACAAGGCAGTGATGCCAATTTCTTACGTTATCTTGAGGTTATCTTGAGATGATTTCGGGGCTTTTAGTGTCCCCGCGGCCCGGTCCTCGACCAGGCCTCCACCCCCAGGAAGCAGCCCGTGACAGCTGACTAACACCCAGGTACCTATTTACTGCTAGGTAACAGGGGCATAGGGTGAAAGAAACTCTGCCCATTGTTTCTCGCCGGCGCCTGGGATCGAACCCACGACCACAGGATCCTGGGTTCTTATATCCTTATACATCCTTACGTCCTTATATACATTTCTATATAGTTTATATAGTTCTCTCCGTATAGCTAGAAGGAAGAAGGGTACAATGTGTATACCCAGGGTCGAGGCAGCTTTGTGTAGAGGCAGATGCGGGAGCCCCACTCTCCGTGCTGGTGATATCCCCCCTCCCCCACACCCCCCCACACCCCCCCCTCCCCCCTCAACACCGGATGCCCAACCGGTATTTTCACGCTCAATTGTTCTGTTGTGATGATAAGGAGAGAGAGAGAGAGAGAGAGAGAGAGAGAGAGAGAGAGAGAGAGAGAGAGAGAGAGAGAGAGAGAGAGAGAGAGAGAGAGAGAGAGAGTTCTGTTGTGATGATAGGAGAGAGAGAGAGAGAGAGAGAGAGAGAGAGAGAGAGAGAGAGAGAGAGAGAGAGAGAGAGAGAGAGAGAGAGAGAGAGAGAGAGAGAGAGAGCACTCTCACTAATACACCATCATCTCACCTCACTCCTTCACCATCCTTTATGGGCCTGACGGCTGAGTGGACAGCGCTCGGGATTCGTAGTCCTGAGATTCCGGGTTCGATCCCCGGTGGAGGCGGAAATAAATGGGCAGAGTTTATTTCATCCTGATGCCCCTGTTGACCTAGCAGTAAATAGGTACCTGGGAGTTAGACAGCTGCTACGGGCTGCTTCCTGGGGATGTGTAACAAAAAGGAGCCCTGGTCGAGGACCGGGCCGCGGGGACGCTAAGCCACGAAATCATCTCAAGATAACCTCAAGATAACCCCGGGGTGTTGGGAGGTTATCTTGGTCCTCCGCCCGTCCACAGGTTAGTAGGTGGGAGGGGGGTTGTCAGTCTACCTGTCCCCTGGCCAGTAGTCAATAAACCGCCCGTCCTGACTTGAGATCAATACCCCGAGCACCAGACATGTACTGAGTGTCGTGGGTCCTGGTGAGTGACGGTGTCGTGGGTCCTGGTGAGTGACGGTGTCGTGGGTCCTGGTGAGTGACGGTGTCGTGGGTCCTGGTGAGTGACGGTGTCGTGGGTCCTGGTGAGTGACGGTGTCGTGGGTCCTGGTGAGTGACGGCGTCGTGGGTCCTGGTGAGTGACGGCGTCGTGGGTCCTGGTGAGTGACGGCGTCGTGGGTCCTGGTGAGTGACGGCGTCGTGGGTCCTGGTGAGTGACGGCGTCGTGGGTCCTGGTGAGTGACGGCGTCGTGGGTCCTGGTGAGTGACGGCGTCGTGGGTCCTGGTGAGTGACGGTGTCGTGGGTCCTGGTGAGTGACGGCGTCGTGGGTCCTGCTGAGTGACGTTGTCGTGGGTCCTGGTGAGTGACGGCGTCGTGGGTCCTGGTGAGTGACGGCGTCGTGGGTCCTGGTGAGTGACGGCGTCGTGGGTCCTGGTGAGTGACGGCGTCGTGGGTCCTGGTGAGTGACGGTGTCGTGGGTCCTGGTGAGTGACGGCGTCGTGGGTCCTGCTGAGTGAGTCGTGGGTCCTGGTGAGTGACGGCGTCGTGGGTCCTGGTGAGTGACGGCGTCGTGGGCTGGTGAGTCGTCGTGGGTCCTGGTGAGTGACGGCGTCGTGGGTCCTGGTGAGTGGTGGTGTCGTGGGTCCTGATGAGTGACGGCGTCGTGGGTCCTGGTGAGTGGTGGCGTCGTGGGTCCTGGTGAGTGACAGCGTCGTGGGTCCTGGTGAGTGACGGCGTCGTGGGTCCTGGTGAGTGACAGCGTCGTGGGTCCTGGTGAGTGACCGCGTCGGGGGTCCTGGTGAGTGACTGGTGAGTGACGGCGTCGTGGGTCCTGGTGAGTGACGGCGTCGTGGGTCCTGGTGAGTGACGGCGTCGTGGGTCCTGGTGAGTGACGGCGTCGTGGGTCCTGGTGAGTGACAGCGTCGTGGGTCCTGGTGAGTGACGGCGTCGTGGGTCATGGTGAGTGACAGCGTCGTGGGTCCTGGTGAGTGACAGCGTCGTGGGTCCTGGTGAGTGACAGCGTCGTGGGTCCTGGTGAGTGACGGCGTCGTGGGTCATGGTGACAGCGTCGTGGGTCATGGTGAGTGACAGCGTCGTGGGTCAACGGACATAACAGGACCCCCGGACATAACAGGACCCCCGGACATAACAGGACCCCCGGCCCGGACATAACAGGACCCCCGGACATAACAGAACCCCCAGACATAACAGGACCCCCGGACAAAACAGAACCCCCGGACATAACAGGACCCCCGGACATAACAGGACCCCCGGACATAACAGGACCCCCGGACATAACAGGACCCCCAGACATAACAGGACCCCCGGACATAACAGAACCCCCAGACATAACAGGACCCCCGGACAAAACAGAACCCCCGGACATAACAGGACCCCCGGACATAACAGAACCCCCAGACATAACAGGACCCCCGGACAAAACAGAACCCCCGAACATAACATGATCCCCGGACATAACAGGACCCCTGGACAAAACAGAACCCCGGACAAAACAGAACCCCGGACAAAACAGAACCCCTTGACAAAACAGAACCCCCGGACAAAACAGAACCCCTGGACAAAACAGAACCCCTGGACAAAACAGAACCCCCGGACAAAACAGAACCCCTGGACAAAACAGAACCCCCGGACAAAACCCCCCGGACAATACAGCGTCGTGGGTCCTGGTGAGTGACAGCGTCGTGGGTCCTGGTGCAATAAGCTTCCCGTGCAATAAGAACACTCTACCCAACCACTTGGGCAGGACGGTAGAGCGACGGTCACGCTTCATGCAGGTCGGCGTTCAATCCCCGACCGTCCATAAGTGGCTATCTTCTTGAGGTTATCTTGAGACGATTTCGGGGCTTTTTTTTTAGTGTCCCCGCGGCCCGGTCCTCGACTAGGCCTCCACCCCCAGGAAGCAGCCCGTGACAGCTGACTAACACCCAGGTACCTATTTTACTGCTAGGTAACAGAATGGCTAGCCACCATTCCTTTCCCCCCCCCCGTCCCATCCCAAATCCTTATCCCGCCCGTCCCATCCCAAATCCTTATCCCGCCCGTCCCATCCCAAATCCTTATCCCGCCCGCGTCCCAGTGATTAGTCGTAATGGCTTGGCGCTTTCCCCCTGATAAGTTCCTTCCTTCCCAACTTGTTCGTTTGTTTGTTTGTTTTACAAAAAACAAAGCAAACTTGCCTCTGGCAAAGGTGCCAGAGGCTATAGAACACATCAACGTCTCTCCCACATCAATCCCCGTCCCCAATCCCCAATCCCCGTCCCCAATCCCCAATCCCCGTCCCCAATCCCCAATCCCCGTCCCCAATCCCCAATCCTCGTCCCCAATCCCCGTCAATCAGCCCACCATGCACACGACGCCAAGGAACATCAATAATAATGGAAAATTCCCATAATGGCGCGCACGACCACGACGACTCACGCGGAAAACGACCACCGGCCAGACGTGAATAAATAATTAGACCATTAGTCTTTATCAACTTGGCGCCGGAGGACGACCCCCAAGCCCTCAGGAAACGACTCAGAGGACGACCCCCAAGCCCTCAGGAAACGACTCAGAGGACGACCACCAAGCCCTCAGGAAACGACTCAGAGGACGACCACCAAGCCCTCAGGAAACGACCCAGAGGACGACCCCCAAGCCCTCAACATACGGCCCAGAGGACGACCACCAAGCCCTCAACATACGACCCAGAGGACGACCACCAAGCCCTCAACATACGGCCCAGAGGACGACCACCAAGCCCTCAGGAAACGACCCAGAGGACGACCCCCAAGCCCTCAACATACGGCCCAGAGGACGACCACAAGCCCTCAACAAACCACCCAAAGGACGACCACCAAGCCCTCAGGAAACGACCCAGAGGACGACCACAAGCCCTCAGGAAACGACTCAGAGGACGACCCCCAAGCCCTCAGGAAACGACTCAGAGGACGACCACAAGCCCTCAGGAAACGACCCAGAGGACGACCACCAAGCCCTCAACAAACGACCCAAAGGACGACCACCAAGCCCTCAGGAAACGACCCAGAGGACGACCACAAGCCCTCAGGAAACGACTCAGAGGACGACCCCCAAGCCCTCAGGAAACGACTCAGAGGACGACCACAAGCCCTCAGGAAACGACTCAGAGGACGACCACAAGCCCTCAAACGACCCAGAGGACGACCACAAGCCCCCAACAAACGACCCGGAGGACGACCACAAGCCCTCAACAAACGACCCAGAGGACGACCACCAAGCCCTCAGGAAACGACCCAGAGGACGACCACCAAGCCCTCAACAAACGACCCAGAGGACGACCACCAAGCCCTCAACAAACGACTCAGAGGACGACCCACAAACCCTCAGGAAACGACTCGGAGGACGACCACCAAGCCCTCAACAAACGACCCAGAGGACGACCCCCAAACCCTCAACATACGACCCAGAGGACGACCCCCAAGCCCTCAACAAACGACCCAGAGGACGACCCACAAGCCTTCAACATACGACCCAGAGGACGACCACCAAGCCCTCAACATACGACCCAGAGGACGACCCCCAAGCCCTCAACATACGACCCAGAGGACGACCACCAAGCCCTCAACATACGACCCAGAGGACGACCACCAGCCCTCAACATACGACCCAGAGGACGACCCACAAGCCCTCAACAAACGACCCAGAGGACGACCCACAAGCCCTCAACAAACGACCCAGAGGACGACCCCCAAGCCCTCAACAAACGACCCAGAGGACGACCACCAAGCCCTCAACAAACGACCCAGAGGACGACCACCAAGTCCTCAACATACGACCCAGAGGACGACCCCCAAGCCCTCAACATACGACCCAGAGGACGACCACCAAGCCCTCAACATACGACCCAGAGGACGACCACCAAGCCCTCAACAAACCACCCAGAGGACGACCACAAGCCCTCAACAAACCACCCAGAGGACGACCCCCAAGCCCTCAACAAACGACCCAGAGGACGACCCCAAGCCCTCAACAAACGACCCAGAGGACGACCCCAAGCCCTCAACAAACGACCCAGAGGACGACCACCAAGCCCTCAACATACGACCCAGAGGACGACCACCAAGCCCTCAACATACGACCCAAAATTAGTTTTCTCTAGTTTACCAAATTAGAGAAAACTAATTCTAGGTGATTAATAAAACTAATTCAATGTAGGTGATTGGCAGACAGTTGGCAAGAGATGCCTTAGTTCCAAAGTTAACTAACAGGGTCTCTATGGTATTTTGCATTCTTAGTCAATGCTGTTCAGAAATCGTAATATATTGGGGGAAATTTGGCTCATTGTCTGCTAATGACGAGAGTAAAGGACTTAATAGTCTTCCATTCTAAATAGACTTAACCATTTTATCATTTTAAGACTTTTATTTATCCATTTTAAGACCAAAATAGACTTAACCATAATACCATTTTAAATAGACTTAATAGTCTTCTTGAGGTTATCTTGAGATGATTTCGGGGCTTTAGTGTCCCCGCGGCCCGGTCCTCGACCAGGCCTCCACCCCCAGGAAGCAGCCCGTGACAGCTGACTAACACCCAGGTACCTATTTTCCTGCTAGGTAACAGGGGCATAGGGTGAAAGAAACTCTTCCCATTGTTTCTCTCCGGCGCCCGGGATTGAACCCGGGACCACAGGATTACAAGTCCAGCGTGCTGTCCGCTCGGCCGACCGGCTCCCTTTTAATAAAAGACTTAAGGGACCTAATAAAGGACTTAAATTTTCTATTACAAATACAGACTAAAGCAATATAATTTAAAGCAGTTTCCGTCTTTATATATATGATATGTATGATATGATATGTATGATATGATATGTATGATATGATATATATTTATATTTATTATATACGATGAACAAACTCACCATTATCGGTCGTCATTGGACCGACAGACTAAGAACAGCTATTTATTCTAACAACGATATTTATCGGATTTTAATTGGTTATTTTCTGCGACATATGTTCATTATTATTTCCTTGTTACGTCTGATGATCCTGATCTATGTCTATGTTTGTTTGTTTGACGTCTGAACAGTGCCCAAACACTACGGCACTTGTGTGTGTTCTGTCCATGTTCAGCAATAACATTCCAATTTAGGCATGAAAGCCTCTTCCCCGCCGGTTACACTTGTGCAAAACATGCTTTTTAAATTGGAAATTAATGGCCTGAACTATCTCATTGATTATTAAATTTGATTTTAAATTTGATGATGAATACTTCAACTAAACTTTCAACATACCAATACATTATTCATCAAATTTAATACTCTAACAGCCGCCTGGTGAACTACTAAATTAGTGCTAACTACCAGTTACAATTAACTACCAAGTGAAACAGCGTACCCTCTCAAAAGGAGTTATTAATTTTGTCAAGAAATTGAAGAAAGTGTCTTGGCTCAATTCGCCATTTTCGCCATGCTATAGTTACCACCAACGACCATGATTGGTTGAACAAGTTGCCTGCCCATTACGCCTCTGATTATGTATTTATTGTGTACTTATCTGTAATTGCTATGAATATAGAGTCGACGGCAGAGTCGATATAAGGAGTGAGTTATGAGTTTTAGACTTAATAAAATGACGACTTAAAAAGAGACTCGTATGAATTAATATTTCGCATTTATAGTATTATAATTAAGTATAATTATATAATATATATTATATTATATAATTGCGGTTTTATTTTTATAATTATGTCCGGCTTCACAGCGGTTGTTACAGCTGTATCCGGCTTCACAGCGGCTGTTACAGCCATATCCGGCTTCACAGCGGCTGTTACAGCTATGTTCCGGCTTCACAGCGGCTGTTACAGCTATGTTCCGGCTTCACAGCGGCTGTTACAGCCATATCCGGCTTCACAGCGGCTGTTACAGCCATATCCGGCTTCACAGCGGCTGCCACAGCTATATCCAGCTTCACAGCGGCTGCCACAGCTATATCCAGCTTCACAGCGGCTGCCACAGCTATATCCGGCTTTATAGCGGCTGCCACAGCTATATCCGGCTTTACAGCGGCTGCCACAGCCATATCCGGCTCCACAGCGGCTGTCCCAACTTTCACAGACGCAGTGCTGTATTTTGCTGTAAATTGCTCGGCCATATTTAAAATACAGACTGGAGAAAATTGCTGTATTTCTGTACTGTTAAGCCCGTCAATGTCTTGGCTATGAACAAGTCCCTGTTTCATATCTTAGCCAGACTTAACTGCCTAGTTAAGTAATTATCTGGTGATTTGAGAGATTCTGGCCATTAAGATGTGTCCTATCTTGAGGTTATCTTGAGATGATTTCGGGGCTTTAGTGTCCCCGCGGCCCGGTCCTCGACCAGGCCTCCACCCCCAGGAAGCAGCCCGTGACAGCTGACTAACTCCCAGGTACCTATTTACTGCTAGGTAACAGGGGCATTCAGGGTGAAAGAAACTTTGCCCATTTGTTTCTGCCTCGTGCGGGAATCGAACCCGCGCCACAGAATTACGAGCCCTGCGCGCTAACCACCAGGCTACGAGGTCCCCTAGGTCCTAGTGTAATTATAGGGCGTTTAATTAACTCGTCAGAGGGGTCTCGGTAGTGCAGTGGGATTCGTTCTCGAATCGCAATCCGGGTTTGGAATCCTGGTGAGCATGAATGCAATGTCTCAATTTTCCAGTTTTTCAATGACCACAATGCCATCCCATCCTGGCAACTGGCACTGTCTGCCATAAGCTTCCTCTGGTTGGCACAGCAACAGTGCCAGGGGGGTGGGGAAGGGGGGGGATGTGGTTCTCCTAATCCACCCAATCATTTTTCAGACCGAGAACCCATCTATGATTAGTTAAGGTCGTTAAACGACAGGTCGTCTCTCTAACAAGGTCTGTTTGTGTCGTTTAATCTCTGTATCGTTAATCTTCATCGTTTCTGCTATAAGTATACTAGAATGATTGTTGCATTGTCTGCAATGAATGATGCGAAGCTGTGGATTGTATTTTTTTTTTGTCTCTATCTGGTATGAGAATGAGAAACAGCAGTGGTGCAAATACCTTGCCCTGTGGTACAGTTTGTACCGTGTTTTGTGATACAGATCCTGTACCGTGCCCCGAGATACAGATCCTGTACCGTGCCCTGAGATACAGATCCTGTACCGTGCCCTGAGATACAGATCCTGTACCGTGCCCCGAGATACAGATCCTGTACCGTGCCCTGAGATACAGATCCTGTACCGTGCCCTGAGATACAGATCCTGTACCGTGCCCCGAGATACAGATCCTGTACCGTGCCCTGAGATACAGATCCTGTACCGTGCCCTGAGATACAGATCCTGTACCGTGCCCTGAGATACAGATCCTGTACCGTGCCCCGAGATACAGATCCTGTACCGTGCCCTGAGATACAGATCCTGTACCGTGCCCTGAGATACAGATCCTGTACCGTGCCCCGAGATACAGATCCTGTACCGTGCCCCGAGATACAGATCCTGTACCGTGCCCCGAGATACAGATCCTGTACCGTGCCCTGAGATACAGATCCTGTACCGTGCCCTGAGATACAGATCCTGTACCGTGCCCTGAGATACAGATCCTGTACCGTGCCCCGAGATACAGATCCTGTACCGTGCCCTGAGATACAGATCCTGTACCGTGCCCTGAGATACAGATCCTGTACCGTCCACAAGTGGTTGGGCACCATTCCTTTCCCCCCCGTCCCATCCCAAAACCTTATCCTGACCCCTTTCCAGTGCTATATAGTCGTAATGGTTAGGCGCTTTCTCCTGACTAGTTCCCCTTCTCAATATTACAGCGAGCGCTGGCGCTACAGACACTTTGTATTTCTCTATAGACATGGAGATGGGGAATCTGTACCCAGGACCGAGTACATGGGAGTTTTGTAATTTCTTCTTTCAAATCTTGGTGCTTTCGTACCTTATTGTACGTAATGTACAAAAGTCGTACGTATTGTACAAGTTTTGATATATAGAAGTTGTTCCTGTTCATATATAGATATATAGATGCCGTTTGGGGTTTTAATTTTCATGTTGTTTATTAGGGCGGTGAACGTAGTCTCGTATAGCTCTTTTAGGATTTCGCCTATTTCTATGTCGCTCTCTGTGTACAAACTTTCAATTGAAATTTAGGTCCAATACTTTTGTTTTTTATCTAAATTTACTTAAGAAAACATGCAAAATGCTTGTTTACGTATCTCTTGTTTGGTTTTGAGTTCCTTGTGTCTATCTTCCGTCTAGTGTGAGGTTATCTTGAGGTTATCTTGAGATGATTTCGGGGCTTTTAGTGTCCCCGCGGCCCGGTCCTCGACCAGGCCTCCACCCCCAGGAAGCAGCCCGTGACAGCTGACTAACACCCAGGTACCTATTTTACTGCTAGGTAACAGGGGCATAGGGTGAAAGAAACTCTGCCCATTGTTTCTCGCCGGCGCCTGGGATTGAACCCGGGACCACAGGATTACAAGTCCCGCGTGCTGTCCGCTCGGCCGACCGGCTCCTGTGAGGGCTAAGTTCCTGCGCTGACCCTTTATTGTCTCCTTGTTTATATAATATTTTCGTGGCTGTGAAAATTGTGTCTTAAGAGTTATTTTGAGTTAGTATTTTATTTCTTCTGTAATGTTGTCTGCGTTCTCAAGTTGCTTCTCCGTTTGATCTGCCGCGAAGGAACGATTTAAAGCAGACTTGGAACACCTCGAGAGGGAAGTGTTCCGTTCCTTGTGTGGGAGTTTTGTTCATGTTCACTACTGTTCCTTGTGTGGGAGTTTTGTTCATGTTCACTACTGTTCCTTGTGTGGGAGTTTTGTTCATGTGGTTCACTACTGTTCCTTGTGTGGGAGTTTTGTTCATGTGGTTCACTACTGTTCCTTGTGTGGGAGTTTTGTTCATGTTCACTACTGTTCCTTGTGTGGGAGTTTTGTTCATGTTCACTACTGTTCCTTGTGTGGGAGTTTTGTTCATGTGGTTCACTACTGTTCCTTGTGTGGGAACTTGTTCATGTTGTTCACTACAGTTCCTTGTGCGGGAGTTTTGTTCATATAGTTCCATGTGTGTTCTTCCCCATCAATCCTCGTATTGGTGAAATTGAATTTATTGAACAATCCTTCCTGTTTGTTAATAAGTT